TAGATACATTAATGACATGCAGGTAAAGCGATGAAATGGGCTGCCTTGGAGAACCGATCGACTACCACCAGGATAGTGGTAAGCCCTTGGGATGGAGGTAACCCTGTGATAAAGTCTACTGACAGGTGGGACCAGGGCCGGCTGGGGATGGGCAGAGGTTGGAGCAACCCAGCCGGTCGCTGTCGTGAGGACTTGCTCTGGGCACAGACGGAACAAGCCGCAGCGAAGGATCTCACATCCTCAATCATGTTGGGCCTCCAGGATACCCCTGGATACCCAGTTAATTTAGAGGAGTGTCCCCATTGTAGTACTCGAGAACGGGCTGAGAGTGGAACATAAAGTCTGTTAGTGGAACCCCCGCCGGGCTCAGGTTCTCAGGTCTGGGCTTGTCGGACCGTGGTCTAAATACTCCATACCACGGGGGCTGCAATGCAGGAGCTGATGGGCTCAGAATCCCTCTCATTGTTAGAGACATCATGTTGACGTGACAGGGCGTCTGCTTTCTGATTCTTGGATCCCGGGCGATAGGCTAGAGTGAAGTTGAACCTGTTAAAAAACAGCGCACATATAGCCTGGCGAGCATTCAACCTCTTGGCTTCTTGAATGGAGACCAAGTTCTTATGGTCCGTCCAGATCACGAAAGGATGAGGTGCCCCCTCCAACCAGTGTCTCCATCCCTCAAGAGCCCACTTGACTGCCAAGAGCTCCCGGTTGCCTATATCGTATTTGCTTTCTGCTGGTGAGAACCGCTTGGAAAGAAAGGCACATGGGTGCAGTTTCTTGTCCCCCTCATTCCGCTGTGAAAGGACTGCCCCTCATCCGGTGTCCGAGGCGTCCACCTCTACCACGAAGGGACGAGTAGGATCAGGATGAACGAGGATGGGCTCGGAGGTGAAACGTCCCTTGAGCTCCACAATGTCATGGTTCCACCTGTCACCAGAGGGCGGCAGAGACCTTCCTAGAGACATTAATGACATGCAGGTGTGTCCTATTACTCATTAAAAAGGTACGGTTTCAGATTTCTGTTGCAGAAGCTTGCTGTGACATGATGAGGTTGGACCCAGGTGCAGAGAAGAGACCAGACGAGGAATCAGTGGTGAAGGATAAACTTAATACTTTACTGAGAAACGGTAACCGAAAGATCACAGTAACACTGGGAAAACAACAAACACTAAGTCTCAAAAACTCATTCAGGAGACAAACGCACACGGCAAACAATTCAAACTTCTGCAACGGAAACCAGAAAACACACCTCTCTTAACAGGGAAATCCTAGTAAGTAATAGGACCCACCTGCATGTCATGAATGTCTCTAGGAAGGTATCTGCCACCCTCTGGTGACAGGTGGAACCATGACAGGAAAGGGTTAAGCCTATTACAGAAGACCAATCATGCAGGGCTGGGGGAGCTCTGCAAAGCTCTGCAGTGGAGAGAGAGAGAGCGAGATCCCGGGAGCTCTTGGCAGTCAAGTGGGCTCTTGAGGGATGGAGACACTGGTTGGAGGGGGCACCTCATCCTTTCGTGATCTGGACGGACCATAAGAACTTGGTCTCCATTCAAGAAGCCAAGAGGTTGAGGCGAGAGAGAGAGAGAGAGAGAGAGAGAGATAGGGAGAGCCAGTGCAGAGCAACACGGTATCACAGATTATTATGAAATAGACAGAAATTGCTTATTGGCACACTCACATTTTTTTTGGTGTTGTTGGAATGTACACAAATGCTTTACGAAGTAGGAAAATTGTGTAATATACACAAAATGCGTTATGAAGAAAATCGTGTTTTCATGTGCCTGTCACAAATTTTGAATAAGTAATTTATGTGTATTTCACAATAAGCTGTGATAGTGTGTTGTGCAGAGAGAGAGCACAGAGCCAGTGGAGAGAGAGAAACTAGGTGTCTATGTCTGTTTTTACTCCACTCCACACAGTGAGGCTGTAGAGAGCGCATGCAACAGAGGCAGTGGATGGATAGCTGCTTGCACACACCCCACCGTGTGTAGAGAAGAAGAGGAGGAAGATGAGAGAGTAAAGGAAAATAAGTAAAGGAAAGGAAGACGAGAGAGGAAAATACAGCAGCAGAATCATCTTCCTTTTTCTGTGGAGTTATATCTTTCTCTGTTGTCAAGACTGACAGACACTGGTAGAGGAGAAGCTGTCTATTAAGAAAAACCTTACTGCACGGGACACCTACCCCACCACGTTCTGATCCTTGGTTTACTGCTGCCTGGAAGTGGGGAGAAGTCATCTGTTGGAATCTAGGGGCTCAGATGCTTTGGAGCATGCAGTATTGCTACAGTACTGGTCAAAGACTATAGTGCCGGACCGAGACGGGACTGTATCGGCATTGGACCAGCTCAGGAGTGTCTGTGTATTTACTCTGCCTGGTGAGCATCCTTCTGATTCTGTTTAGATGGGACGGGGCACTCTAGTTAATGATTCGATATAGAGAGCATGTTGCAGGCAAGTGCTTGTGACAGCTTGGGTAACTCAATGACAAATACCTCTGATACACTAAGAAAATATTGGCAACTGGCAGGTATTTGAAAAGTGAATAGCCTACAAATCTAGAGAATTACACACAAAAAACATTATCACACTGTAAGAGTCTCCCATTTCTAAAATGTTTTTAGTATGTAGTGGGCAGTTATTTGGTCATTCAGTCTCAAACTCCCTGCATCCAGTCTCTACTCTATCTAAAAGATCCAAGATTACATGTTTTGGATGAATGTCTGTGTGTTTTTGTAGGTATGTTTGCGTACTGCATGATATGTGTCTGCATGTTGGCAGTCTTACTGCTCTTTCAATATTGACACAAGACAGTATATCAAATGTCGGACATATAGACAGACAGCATTAAAACACTGCAGGATCAATATGCTACACTGTTATCTCAGTGTGAAGCTTTACTTGTCTTTTACTGCATTCCAAATGACAGAAATACAGTAGTCTACATGCAGGTTTGAGATTTCCCTCTGTTTCTGAGTGTTTGTAGCGGAGACAGTACTGCAGATTGTAGTATGTGAGCCCCAGCAGTTGGGACATGCACAGTGCACACTCCTCTCCCGGAGTACTGTAAATAGTCTAGCGGATTGCTAAGAATGACAGTACTTTTTTCTAGTAACAACCACCTCATGGTGCTTACGGTAAATGTGTGTGTGTGTGTGTGAATTAACATAGAGATGTTATGCAGAAGATGATATGTGTTCCCATCCTATAAAAACAAGTCTCATTACCGTCTTGGGATTTCTGTTTGGTGCAAGTACTGAGGGCTATTATTTTGTAATGTTTTACACAACTATTAATGTTGCAAGAGTTACTGCCAGTCATATCCTCATAATACTTTCTTGAACCCTACCCGCCTACATAATTCTCATTTTATTAATGTATCAGAGCAGAAATCAAATTATAAGCAGTTATGGATAAGTTTACATTCGCCCAATGATGGATCTCACAGCTACAGGCAGTGAGGTAAACAACAAAATAGCACGAGTCAGGGTGTGTGTGTGTGCCTGCATGTGTGTGTGTATGTCAAATGCATTGCAACGAGAGGATCGATGTTGCTTGTGTGTTTCTTCCTCCTGTCCTGTGCAGTCGATTAACTGCAGCATTATGGTAATTTAATGAGTGTGAATAAAACAGAGGGACATAATAAGATCTCTGTAATAATATAACATAATAATACCATATGTAAAAATGGATAAAAGCGTCTGCTAAATGGCATATTATTATTTTTATTATCTCAACACAGGCTCGTTGCTATGCTATGCTTCTGTAGTTTGTGTTTATTTGGATTAACATTCTCTCACTTACATTTACATTTTAGTCATTTAGCAGACGCTCTTATCCAGAGCGACTTACAGGAGCACTTCTCACTCTCTTGCTTTCGCTCTCTCTCTTCATCACTTCTCTGCTGTCTCTCCCATTCCTATCTCCCCCCTCTCTCTCTCTCTCTTCCAGAACCCTGAATAAAAGGGGGATGTGACTGAAGAACAGAGAGGCAGCAGTGTGATGATGGTCTGGTCTGTGTGGTCCCAGTCCCCTCGTCGTTTTGTCCAATCCCCTCCGAGGACTGTTATAATGGTATGAATCAGACAGGCGGTGCATCCCCCTCTACATGACCACGACCTTCTTCTACTGAATCGCACACACAGGCACTAACACATGCACAATAGTAGCTTGATAATTCACACATGCACACACATACACACACTTGTGTGTACTGGCTCATAAGCAAGCACACACACACACATCGAACATTTACCTACAACACAAACACCAAATGATCACAATCACACACACATGCATACAGCACCGTGGTATCAGGAGTTCAAAGAGCTTGGAGCATCAGACAGACATATATGAGCTGTTCTGGACTTGATTTACAATTGCAGGAAATCTGCCTGCCTCGCCAGTGATGAGACAGATGAGATTAGAAAGCTGCTGCTGAGTTAAAGGCCTGTTCCATTAGTATCTCTCCAGGGGACAACCAGGGAGGACCAGGCCCCGGCCCCTGCCTCTCTGCCTGGCCTGGCTGGCCTGCACTTACTGAATCCACATGGCCCACCCTAACACTGGCCCTCACTAATGCACAAATACATAAATAAATGGAATAAATATTTGAATGTTTGTTTTTGCTTGGCTGAAAACCCCCCACTGTTTGGAGGACAAACTGATGCATCTAGATGCTCTCTGGGATGGAGTAACAGAGTTCTATATCAATCATTTTGGTGATTATTTTGTGATCAATCTAGAGACAACTGAACTAAAGGGGACAATTATTCCCCAACCAAGGATTTGGATTCTACAGACTACAGTTGGATTCTACATAATTTTGATGTACAGTCATTAGCATTCAGGCCTTCCACAGAGGAAGAGTCTTTGTGTTTTGTGCGGTGGCCTCTGAGGCTGAAGCTGCACCACCTGGGAATACTACTGTGAGTTTATCAACAGGATACATCTCTGACAGTTTATCTGTGATCCAGTCATCCATCAACACTCCCACCATGGCCAAAACAAACCCCAGAGAGAGAGAGAGAGAAAGAGAGCGAGAGTGATAGATAAATAGATAGAGGCGTGTTGGATATATCCAGGCTTGCGTTCTCTTTCCCCTTCCTCTCGGCCGTACTGGAGATGCTCACCGTGGCAGACACCCATACATTCTCATGTCATTAATTACAGGAAGGAGCTCACAGCCTAGCAGTCCGGTCCATTAGCCAATCAAAAGTCCGGTCCAGTCTGGCCCAGGTTGGAGTGAATCTGAGTCAATCTGCTGGCTCTGCTAGAGAGGAACTCTTCATGGTGACATTACACCTGATTCGGATGCCTGTCTGTGTGGATCTAGCTGGCGATGTACCTGACTACGAATCCTTGCTGGGCCTCAGATAGAACTGGAGGGAAGGGTGAGTAGAGTACCCAGGCACTTAGGGATGTTCATATTTCCCTTACAAGACGATTCGATACGTATCTAGATACATGGGCTCCGATACGATACAGGAACTATACGTTTTAGTTTGAAACTATTCGGTGCGATTCGGTTTGATTAGAAGAACGAATCTATGTGATTCGGTTTGATGCGATACGATTCGATGCGCTCAATTTTTTTGCATAAACACATTCATTTTTCATTCAAAATAAAAATCTGCTGCTGATGGAGCTCCTGAGCTGGATCTGTCTGAGCTGACTTCTTCTCTCTGTGTGTGGTTGTGTGTGTGTGTGTGTGTGTATGGTTGTGTTTGTGTGTATGTGTGTATATGTCTATGGTGTATGTAGGCACCTGAGCTGAGCCATAAGTGAAACTGGGCATCTACCACCCCTCTATCAGTTAAGGGAGGGCAATGATTGCTTTTTGTCCCCCCCCTTTTAAAAATGTGCTATGACATAGCCAATATATATAATATATAGCACAACTTTGGATTTCACCCCAGTCTCATAATCAAATGGTTTAGACCGTTTGGAAGTTTTGAGTGAGCTTCTCTTTGATCTTCCGCTTCGACCATGCATTGTGGGTAGAAAAATATCTAAAATCCTACCTAGAACCAGATGAGAGTTGTCTCCGTTGGTATCTTAGGCTACTTTTATTCCGCTAAAACACAATTTTCAACAGTGCATTTGATAAAAAATGACCTAGCAAATTATATTGGTTGTCACTCAACTAATAAAGCCTAATATTGTGCAAGCCATTTTACAAAATTTGAATGCTGAAGGTGACGTGCAGATGTGCCAGATCAGGAATAGGCCTGCCTCTCTTTGGTCAGTGGGCGAAGCTGCACACAGCGTGCAGTTTGACTAGGCTACTGATATTGCCTGGGGTTGTTTGGCATGCAAAATGAAGGAGAGAACGCAGTTTTCACAAAAAATGTGAGGTATTTTCGGTAGATAGAAATAAAGTAATTTTGAGCAACAACACAAAATGTGAACCGGTGATTCATAACGTTTGAATTGATTTTCTGAAGGATGCATGCTACATATGGATCGGTTTGCGGTCCTGCTGATGCACTCATATCTTAAACATTTGAACCGGGGACCGATGTGTATCGGTGAATAGTTACACCCCTACTGGCTCTAAAGTTGCATATGCAACTACATATTTTGCTGTGCAACCTGGAGTTTTCTTTTGGAGCACCAGTGCAACTAAAATAAAATCCTATGAAAAATTCAATGCGTAACAGTATTTTGCCGCAACACTCTTCTCTACACTGCTCAAACAAGACAGCTTTATTCCAGTTCCCGGGCCACACACACCAAGCCCTGCCCCCTGTCACTCAAGAAGGAAGCACACAGTTCCTCCACGCTGTTTATTCTCTCAGCATGATGTCAATTCATGCACTTAATATATTCTTCCAAAACAAGCAAAATGCTGCTCTACCATTGTACCTTCTGTTTAGAATTCACACAGACACCACAACCAACCCAAACACCCATGAGTTTAGGAGAATTACACAATACAGTTGTAAAATACTGCTATTGTAAAATATATGACGTCTGCTGCATCTGAAAATAAAGCAGCTTTTTCTGCATGCTCCTGCCTCTATCTTTCAGAACTGCAAAATGTGAACCGGTGATTCATAACCCACCTGAAGCAGCAGAAAACACTGTTTTAAAGGAAAAGCATGATCATGCTTGCATCCTTAGTGGCACCCTATTCCCTATGTAGTGTACTAGTTTTGACCAGAGCCCATAGGGGTCTGGTCAAAGTAGTGAACTATATGGGGAATAGGGTGCCATTTGGGACACAACCTATGACTCACAATCAAGACTTGATGTGTGCTGTAGTTGTCAATACATGTACTAGAACAATCTTATCTACAAGACATGGAGAAAAAGGTTATCCTGCTTCTAAAAGCTCTCGCATGCTCTCAGCGTTGTCAGTTTCTAATTTAAAACCAGAATAGTGGCAGTTTTATTACGGTCGGGATTTCACACATAAAAGGATTTTTTGATTTTGCATCGTAGGAGCAATCTGATGTCCAAGTTGCAGTGAAGAAGTGTTTGAGATTCAGATGAGCTAGCTGCGTTGTGATGCCTGAGAGGTGTAGCTTCTAATAACACCCCCTACTGTCTGTCTCCTCTTCTCCTCGCAAACACTCCCTCTCCTTCGCAAATTCCTTTTTCCTCTCTTTCCTTCTCCATCTCACTCTCCCCCCTCACTCTTTCTCTCCTTCTCTCTCCCTTTCTCTGTCTACATTTATTTTCTCGATCCCTCTCTCTACCTCTCCATCTCTCTGTCTACATTTCTCCTTCTCGCTCTCTCTCCCTCTCCCACTATCCCTCCCCTCCCTACAGGATAATGCATATCCTTCCCCCTCTGGAGAGAGAAGGCACCATGAGCAACGTCACCGACTACGCAGCCGAGCCCATAAGCCGAACCATGTCTCCAGCCACGCCCTACCCATACCCCTACCCCATCTCCTTCCAGGTACACCAATATACACTATACAGTTTATACAAAAGTATGTGGACGTCCCTTCAAATGTGTGGATTTGGCTATTTCAGCCACACTCGTTGCTGACAAGTGTATACAATCGAGCACACAGCCATGCAATCTCCATAGACATACAATAGCCTTACTGAAGAGCTCAGTGATTTTCAACAAGGCACCGTCATAGGATGCCACCTTTCTAACAAGTCAGTTCATCAAATTTCTGCCCTGCTAGAGCTGCCCCAGTCAACTGTAAGTGCTCTTATTGTGAAGTGGAAACGTGTAGAAGCAACAACAGCTCAGCCGTGAAGTGGTAGGCCACACAAGCTAACAGAACGGGACCGCCGAGTGCTGAAGCGCGTAGCACGTACAAATTGTCTGCCCTCGGTTGGAACACTCACTATCGAGTTCCAAACTGCCTCTTGAAGCAACGTCAGCACAATAACTGTTCGTCGGGAGCTTCATGAAATGAGTTTCCATGGCTGAGCAGCCGCACACAAAACCTAAGATTACCATGCGCAATGCCAAGAGTCGGCTGGAGTGGTGTAAAGCTTGCCGACGTTGAACTCTGGAGCAGTGGAAACGCGTTCTGGAGTTATGAATCACGATTCACCATCTGGAAGTCCAACGGACGAATCTGGGTTTGGCGGATGCCAGGAGAACGCTACCTGCCCCAATGCATAGTGCCAACTGGAAAGTTTGGTGGAGGAGGAATAATGGCCTGGGGCTGTTTTTCATAGTTCGGGCTAGGCCCCTTAGTTCCAGTGAAGGGAAATCTTAACGCTACAGCATACAATGACATTCTTGAAATGTTCCATACGCACAAAAAGCTTATTTCTTTCAAATTTTGTCCACAAATTTGTTTACATTCCTGTTAATGAGCATTTCTCTTTTGACAAGATAATCCATCCACCCGACAGGTGTGGCATATCAAGAAGCTGATTAAACAGCATGATCATTACACAGGTGCACCTTGGAAAATAAAAGGCCAATCTAAAATGTGCAGTTTTGTCACACAACACAATGCCACAAGTTTTGAGGGAGCGTGCAGTTGGCATACTGACTGCAGGAATCTCCACCAAAGCTGTTGCCAGAGGATTTTATGTTAATTTCTCTACCATAAGCCACCTCCAACATAGTTTTAGAGAATTTGGCAGTACGTCTAACCGGCCTTACAACCGCAGACCACGTTTAACCACGCCAACCCAGAACCTCCACATCCGGCTTCTTCACCTGCGGGATCATCTGAGATCAGCCACCCGGACAGCTGATGAAACTGTGGGTTTGCACAACCGAAGCATTTCTGCACAAACTGTCAGAAACCGTCTCAGGGAAGCTCATTTGCGTGCTCGTCGTCCTCACCAGGGTCTTGTCCAGACTGCAGTTCGGCATCGTAACCGACTTCAGTGGGCAAATGCTCACGTTTGATGGCCACTGGCATGCTGGAGATGTGTGCTCTTCACGGATGAATCCCGGTTTCAACTGTACCGGGCAGATGGCAGACAGTGTGTTTGGTGTCATGTGGGCGAGCGGTTTGTTGATGTCAATGTTGTGAACAGAGTGCCCCATGGTGGCGGTGGGGTTATGGTATGGGCATAAGGTATGAAAAACAAATGTAATTGCATTTTATCAATGTCAATTTAAAAGCACAGAGATACCATGACAAGATCCTGAGGCCCATTTTCGTGCCATTCATCCGCCGCCATCACCTCATGTTTCAGCATGATAATGCACAGCCCCATGTCGCAAGGATCTGTATAAAATTCCTGGAACCTGAAAATGTCCCAGTGGCCTGCATACTCACCAGACATGTCACCCATTGAGCATGTTTGGGATGCTCTGGATCGACGTGTACGGCAGCGTGATCCAGTTCCCACCAATATACGGCAACTTGAAGAGGAGTGGGACAACATTCCACAGGCCACAATCAACAGCCTGATCAACTTTATGCGAAGGAGATAAGTTGCGCTGCCTGAGGCAAATCGTGGTCACACCAGATACTGATTGGTTTTCTGATTCACGTCCTTACCTTTTTTTAAAGGTACTTTATCTGTGACCAACAGATGTATATCTGTATTCCCAGATATGAAATCCATAGATTAGGGCCTAATTAATTTATTTCAATTGGCTGATATCCTTATATGAACTGTAACTCAGTAAAATCTTTTTAATTGTTGCATGTTGCGTTTATATTTCTGTTCACTGGAAGTGAAGTGTAGTACTGTATGTCTTGTGATATTGGGGCGGTTTCCCGGACACAAATGAAGACCAGTCCTGGACTAAAGGGTCAATGGAGATTCTTAATTGAAAGTGCTTTTTAGTCCAGGACTAGGGTAAATCTTTTTCTGGGAATCCGGCCAATTGTGTATTACATCTATGCCAGGAATGCCTGTTTTGTTGCAAGACAAATTTCCCTATGTTTCATTAAAGTATTGATTAATTCAATTGTACATTATTCATTCATTCAATTATTCTGTCATGCAGGTGTCCCTGACCGGCTTTCTGATTTTGGAGATTGTGCTGGGCCTGAGCTCCAACCTCACCGTGCTGGCTCTCTACTGCATGAAGTCTGACCTGATCTCCTCAGTCTCCAACATCGTCACTATGAACCTCCACGTCCTCGATGTATTAGTGTGTGTCTGTTGTATCCCACTGACCATGGTGGTGTTGTTGTTGTCTCTGGCGGGGGATACAGCCTTAGTTTGTTGCTTCCACGAGGCCTGTGTGTCACTCGCTAGTGTCGGCACGGCAGCCAACGTCCTCGCCATCACCCTGGACCGGTATGACATCTCTGTGAAACCGTCGAACCGAGTGCTCACCATGGGCCGAGCTCTGGCACTGCTGGCCGCCATTTGGGTGCTGTCTTTCCTCAGTTTCCTGGTACCTTTCATCGAGGTGGGGTTCTTTGCCCCAGGCCAGGCTGAGCGCAATCAGACACTAGCGGCTGTAACCACGGTGGCTCATACCAACCAGTACCATACAGAGCTGGGGCTGTACTACCACCTACTGGCTCAGATCCCGATCTTCTTCTTCACGGCGGTCATCATGCTCATCACCTACTCCAAGATCCTTCAGGCGCTCAACATTCGCATCGGGACGCGCTTCCACACGGCGTCGCAGAAGAAGGCCAGGAGAAAAAAGTGTCCTTCTATGACGGCTATGACGTCACATGCGACAGTCGGGGCCACAGACGCATCCCAGTCCATTGGCCGCACGCTCCCGACCATGGGCATGCGGACCTCCGTTTCCCTCATCATCGCGTTGAGGAGAGCCATTAAACGCCACCGGGAACGTCGAGAACGGCAGAAACGCGTCTTCAGGATGTCGCTACTCATCGTGTCGACGTTCCTGCTCTGCTGGACTCCCATAACCACCCTCAACACAGTCATATTGACAGTAGGCCCCAGCGAATTCACGGTCAAGCTGCGGTTGGGCTTCCTGGTCATGGCGTACGGGACGACAATCTTCCACCCGCTGCTCTACGCCTTCACCAGGCAGAAGTTCCAGACGGTTTGGCTCTCTGCTTTTACACCACAGACATGCACGCACGTACACACCACCCCCACACACTCCACACAACAGCCCAGATCACAGCCTTTTGATGATGTGCTGCTTATCTTATCTTATGTTGTCTTATGTTAAGGTTCTAAAGAGCAAGATGAAGAAGAGGGTGGTGAGCATCATCGAGGCCGGCCCACTGCCCAACAACGCAGTAATCCGTAAATCCTGGATCGACCCCAGGAGGAACAAGAAGGTCACCTTTAACGAGGACACAGAGGCCAGGCAGAAATGTCTTCAGTCTTCTGAGGATGCTGTGGAATGAATGAATTAAATCTAGTCATTCTATTTCTATGGAATTAATTAACTACTTAAGGACAAGACACACCCTAAGGAATGTTGACATAGAGCAAAAGATCACCTACAGGGTGTCGACGGACGGTGGTGATTCAACATCTAGGATGGTCGGAAAATGAACAGAAAATGGTCTGTGGTCAAAGTTGATAGGACCCCCACCCGCTGCTTTTAACTGTTCCTCGACATCGTCTGTTTTTCCTTTAGTGCACTCTTCTACACTCAAAGCAGTGGAGGCTGGTGGTGGCCTAAATCAGAGGACTGGCGCATAGTAATGGCTGGTATGGAATTAATGGAACAGTATCATACATTTCAAATAATGACACCAGCCTCCACTGACTAAAATAAGGAAACATTTGTTGGTTCATCAGGTTGAGATTTTAAAAAAGGGATACTGAACAAAAATATAAATGCAACATGAGTTACAGTTTATATAAGGAGATCAGTCAATTGAAATAAATTAATTAGGCCCTAATCTATGGATTTCACATGACTGGGCAGGGGCGCGGGCAGGGGCGCAGCCATGGGTGGGCCTGGGAGGGCATAGGCCCACCCACTGGCCAATCAGAATGAGTTTTCCCCCACAAAAGTGCTTTATTACAGACCAAAATACTCCTTAGTTTCATCAGGTGTCCGGGTGGCTGGTTTTAGACGATCCCGCAGGTGAAGAAGCCGGGTGTGGTGGTCCTGGGCTGGCGTGGTTACACGTGGTCTGCGGTTGTGAGGCCAGTTGGACGTACTGCCAAATTCTCTAAAACGACATTGGAGGCGGCTTTTGGTAGAGAAAAATAGCTGTGGTGAACATTCCTGCAGTCAGCATGCCAATTGCACGCTCCCTCAAAACTTGAGACATCTGTGGCATTATGTTGTGTGACAAAACTGCACATTGTCAGGTGGATGGATTATCTTGGCAAATGAGAAATGCTCACTAACAGAGATGTAAACAAATTTGTGCACAAAATTAGAGCGAAATAACCTTTTAGTGCATTTGGAACATTTCTGAGATCTTTTATTTCAGCTCATGAAACATGGGACCAACACTTTACATGTTGCATTGATATTTTTGTTCAGTATATGTGTATTTACTGTAAATGTAAAAATTCCAGAGGAGGAAAATGTATTACTATTTATTGAAAACAACGCATGTTAGAGGTTTCATAGATAAAAGCTGTAGATATTGCATGGCTTTTTGTAACAGTAGCAATATACATTATTTACAGATACAGTATAGAGACATGCACAGTATATAAGGAACACATATATCGAGCAAATAGGCATTGTATACATGGTATATTTATAATAAATGTTGTGTTCACTTACTGGTTGTATTTTTTATCATTTTACATTTACGTCATTTAGCAGACGCTCTTACCCAGAGCGACTTACAGTTAGTGAGTGCATACATAATTTTTTCATACCCCCTGTGGGAAACAAACCCACAACCCTGGCGTTGCAAATGCCATGCTCTACCAACTGAGCTACATCCCTGCCGGCCATTCCCTCCTCTACCCTGGACGACGCTGGGCTAATTTTGTGCCGCCGCATGGGTCTCCCGGTCGCGGCCTGCTACAACAGAGCCTGGATTCGAACCAGGATCTCTAGTGGCACAGCTAGCACTGCGATGCAGTGCCTTAGACCACTGCGCCACTCGGGAGGTGACCGGGAGACCCATGGGTCTTTATAGATCCAATAATTAATTAGGTAGATTGAGAAGTGAGACCTGGGTACACATTAAATGAAAAAAGAACAAGACAACATAAAAAGACATCACAATAGGAATACAGCATACATACAAAGTACAAATACATGTAGAAGGCTACAAAAAAGAAAATGTGATGGCATCACCCCAAAAGACTGAAACAGCAATAGTTATTTTCAATGCATAGGTGCTGTCATGACTCTCTCTCCTTGGTGAGGATCAAAAGTGCCAGATCAGCTTGGCAAATGGCTGACAGATAGCCAGAGGAGAGGGGAGGGGAGTTGGGCCGGTTTTATGACTTAACAGTCGGTCATAAATAATTTGCAGAAATGGACTCATTTTGGTCTCTAGCATGGGAAGAAAGACATCTCTTTGTTACAGAGAGATTCTTCCCGCCAAAACTCCAACATCCAAAAGTGGATAATGAAACAATATTTCTAACACAAAGAATGTGGGAAAAGGTCGGTGGGGACTTAAAGAACAATCTTGTCGAATTTGTTACTATGTTGTGATGTCATTAAAGACGGAAGAACAACATAACTGTATCTCTGGGGGTGTACACTATCCAGTTATGAGGTTTGCATCTAATTGTTGTATAAAACTAATGTCTATGTGCCGGGGGGCTAAGGTCAGTTTGTTATATCTGGTGTTATTCTCCTGTCTTATCTGGAGTCCTGTGTGAATTTAAGTATGCTCCCTCTAATTCTCTCTCACTCCCTCCCATCCCGGAGGACCTGAGCTCTAGGACCATGCCTCCGGACTACTTGGCCTGATGACTCCTGGCTGTCCACAGTCCACCTGTTCGTGCTGCTGCTCCAGTTTCCACTCTTCTGCCTGCGGCTATGGAACCCTGACCTGTTCACCGGACGTGCTACCTTGTCCCAGACCTGCTAGTTTCAACTCTCTCTCTCTACCGCACCTGCTATTTCAACCTCTAAATGCCCGGCTATGAAAAGCCAAGTGACATTTACTCCTGATGTACTGACCTGTTACAACCTCTACAACCATTGTGATTATTATTTGACCCTGCTGGTCATCTATGAACGTTTGAACATCTTGGTGAAAAATCTGGGCTTAATGGCCATGTACTCTTATAAACTCCACCCGGCACAGCCAGAAGAGGACTGGCCACCCCTCAGAGCCTGGTTCCTCTCTAGGTTTCTTCCTAGGTTTCTGTCTTTCTAGGGAATTTTTTTAGCCACCGTGCTTCTACATCTGCATTGCTTGCTGTTTGGGGTTTTAGGCTGGGTTTCTGTATAGCACTTTGTGACATCTGCTGATGTAAAAAGGGCTTTATAAATACAAGTTGATTGATTGATTGAATGATTAAGTGTAATAATACTTTTGTGAAGATAACAATGTGATTTTAGCATTCTAGATGAGATGATTGTTTTCCATATTGACTTGTTCTCAGTCAGTGGCCACGCCCAGATGAGCACAAACATGATGAAACGCCCCCTTTTCTACTCAAGTATAAAACCCCTCGTGACGAAATTCACACCAGACCAGGAAGCTACACGGCTTAAAATGGTTAGACCAGGAAGCGTGAAGCTGTGGCTACACGGCTTAAAATGGTTGACACTCTACAGACCAGAAAACGTGAGACGGTAGTCCATACGTTTGAAATGGAGAAACTCTGAAACTGTCAATCTCTACATGAGAAGAAGACCACGCACTAGAACTTATCATATCAGTATGCAGCTGTACATGTAAAGTGTCTAGAACATTTGACTAAAGACACGAGGTAGGAAGGACCATCCCTCTCAGACAACCGTTGAAGTACCTATTCTAACGAACACTCCATTTGAAGACAAGCCGAGTCTCACCGAAGTGGAACCAAGACACTCAAACCCTTTTTGAGAAAGTGGTTCAACAGAGAGACAACGATCAAGGACAGCTACGCATAAATATAAACGTTGCATTTATTTTCCTAATGAGTGGTGGTTAGGGTGCTAAGTATTATGATTACTGTGAGTGCAGTTTCCAAATGTAACAAAGATAGTTTGAATCTCTGTCTCTCCCTTTCACTCTCTGACCCCTCCTTCTCCTAATCAAGCAGTCATGCTATTGTTAGTCCAGTCCACTAGGGACCTGTTTTCATTGTATTACGTTAGTAATCAATAACCTATGCGGTGTGTGTTTGTATTCTGTGTTATTAATTAGTTAGTTAGTAAATAAATAATTAAGCCAATTTGTGTATTGCTGATTCATCAAAAAGGTTAGGGTTCTTGCAGGTTCAAGGATTATGCGACGTTCAGAATGAGACTGATAAGAGGTAATGATTGATACGTTGACTGTTTTATACATAGTGATAGGTAAAGACCTTTTAGAGTTTAATTCCGGAGATGGTAACTCTATAAACAACTTCTCCCGTGGTGCCCCAAATTCCTTAATGAGTTAATTGTTATTTGATTAATTTAATCGAGTGACAATTAAACATAGTTAGTTGATTCGATAAATAACAGTCATCACATTAATGCAAGTCACGTCACGACAGTGCTCTTATTTACTAAAAAGCTGACGTGCTTAGACCCTAAATCGGTCTTTGTGGAAGCTTGTAGAAGGCTCCCTATCCTTTCCCTATCCTTCCCCCACCCCCCAGTATAGCAGCAGACGTTTGTGAATCTATAACAGCGGTAAAAGCACAGCCAGTTATCAGGATGATGACACTTCTCATCCTACACCGTGCCTGTCTATCTCCTGTGACCAGCTACTTACTGTGCTGGGGCCCTCTGAGGCCAAGAGTTCAGATTGGGAAGAGGCTAATGTATGAGGATGCAGGAGAGATAGAGGGGGAGGAAAAGAGGGAGAGAGAGAAAGATAGAGAATCAAACTGGGGTTAAAATGGAGGATGGGCTGGGTAGGAAGGTAGTAAGATGGAGAGAAGGGGGATATGTGGTGTTCTTTGTTGTGTCCATTCTGATGTGATGTGGGAGTTGTTTATAACAGTGATTCTCAGAGGTAAACCAGAATGCACCACCCCACTCCATGGCTCTTATCAAACTATTGGACATCTCGAATAAGACACAATGAAAACAATGTCTGTTTCATTTTAAAAAGCTGACTGAGCCAAATGGAGAGGGTGGAGGGAGAGGGAGGATGATACTGGGAGAGAGAGAGAGAGAGAGAGAGAGAGAGAGAGAGAGAGAGAGAGAGAGAGAGAGAGAGAGAGAGAGAGAGAGAGAGAGAGAGAGAGAGAGAGAGGATGATACTGACTGGGAGGAGGGAAATATTGAGAATCATAACACACTCAATACCAAGTTATAGAAAACACACCCAATACCAAAGTACAGAACCCTGCTGATAGTAGAAGTAGAAGATCAAGCTTGTATGTGATGCTGGCAATGTCCTTATCCACAATGTGTCCCTTTCCTTCTTTCCTTGTCCAGACATGATTGTCAAAAGTAATTTCACATTTGAGTTTTATGCTAATGTTCAAATTCTGAAATGTACTTAACTTTAATTTAAGAATTCATTTCTCAATCCTCTTGTTCTATAAAATAAAACCCTGTCACCGTATAATGTTCAGCTTCCTATAAGAGGTGATAATAAATTAAGGACATCTAATAACAAATTCTGATGAAGGGGTGCAATATGCATTAGCATTTTTAAAAACATGGTTGTCCTCATGACTGCAGTCAAATTCCGTGTGACCGTTTAGTCACGTTAACTAGGCTTCTCCAAAACTGTGCTCTGATGCTGCTGATGGTCATTAGTAGCCTACCAAACTTGATAACTGCCTGGTACTCAGCACTCTATTGTCCCTCTAATCACTCTGACATCAATGCAAATGCAATCGAAAAACAAACACTTAACGTAACATTTATATAGGCTATGCAATTGCGTGCGAAAAAGTAGTCGGAAGAGAAAGAGACGCGATAAGTTACGTGATAAAGCTCGAGAAGCTGGTGTTCGGAGGATACCGTGCCAATATATCATCCAAACACCGGCTTCGAAGGCATTATCGCTTTTATACAACGGGTTACCAACATATTCAAATAAAGATTGACATATTTTCATTAAAAACTTTACTTTGATGAATTTATTCATACTATTTCATCCTTACATAAGATATAGTCCCGACACAAATCTAGGGTTGCTACCCAAGCCGGCTGGTCGTTTGTTCTATCGGTTCAGTTGCCAGAGACGGGACCCGGTCGTTCAGTCTTGTTGTTCTGTATCTATGGATGCAACCCAGTCGTTCGTTCTAAATGTTCCACTGCCATATTAGCTAGCTGAATAAACTAAGTTAGTCTATTCCTAGAAAACATTGAACCGCTGTAGTTTACAACAATTATAGTTTCTGAGGTGTAAGTTGGGAGAGTTATATTTGGGTGTTTCAGTGAAACGTAAGTGAGGGAGGCCCCGCTCTCTCCTTTCCCAGATGTTTAGTTCATTTCATTCCGATCTCCTTTGCGTTATTGGAGCCATTTTCTGTAGCCTGTCAACTATGCCTCTGTCTATCCCTGTTCTCTCCTCTCCGCACAGGCTATACAAACGCCTCACACCGCGTGGCTGCTGCCTCTCTAACCAGGTGGTCCCTGCACGCACCACCCACGTGGAGTTCCAGGTATCAGGCAGCCTCTGGAACTGCCGTTCTGCTGCCAACAAGGCAGAGTTCATTTCAGCCTATGCTACCCTCCAGTCCCTCGACTTCTTGGCACTGAGATAAACATGGATTACCACTGAAAACATTGCTACTCCTACTGCTCTCTCCTCGTCTGACCATGTGTTCTTGCATACCCGAGAGCATCTGGTCAGCGGGGTGGTGGCACAGGAATCCTCATCTCTCCCAAGTGGACATTCTCTCTTTTTCCCCTGACCCATCTGTCTATCTCCTCATTTGAATTCCATGCTGTCACAGTCACTAGCCCATTCAAGCTTAACATCCTTGTCATTTATCGCCCTCCAGGTTCCCTTGGAAAGTTCATCAATGAGCTTGACGCCTTGATAAGTTCCTTTCCTGAGGATGGCTCACCCCTCACAGTTCTGGGTGACTTCAACCTCCCTACGTCTACCTTTGACTCATTTCTCTCTGCCTCCTTCTTTCCACTCCTCTCCTCTTTTGACCTCACCCTCTCACCGTCCTCCCCTACTCACAAGGCAGGCAATATGCTTGACCTCATGTTTACTAGATGCTGTTCTTCTACTAATCTCACTGCAACTCCCATCCATGTCTCCGACCACTACTTTGTATCCTTTTCTCTCTCGCTCTCTTCCAACACTACTCACTCTGCCCCTAAGATGGTAATGCACCGTCGCAACCTTCGCTCTCTCTCTCCCGCTACTCTCTCTTCTTCCATCCTATCATCTCTTCCCTCTGCTCAATCCTTCACCCTCCAATCTCCTGATTCTGCCTCCTCAACCCTCCTCTCCTTCCTTTCTGCATCCTTTGACTCTCTATGTCCCCTATCCTCCCGGCCGGCTCGGTCCTCCCCTCCTGCTCCGTGGCTTGACGACTCATTGCGAGCTCACAGAACAGGGCTCCGGGCAGCCGAGCGGAAATGGAGGAAAACTAGAATCCCTGCGGACCTGGCATCTTTTCACTCCCTCCTCTCTACATTTTCTTCATCCCTCTTTGCTGCTAAAGCCACTTTCTACCACTCTAAATTCCAAGCATCTGCCTCTAACCCTAGGAAGCTCTTTGCCACCTTCTCCTCCCTGCTGAATCATCCTCCCCCTCCCCCCTCCTCCCTCTCTGTGGATGACTTCGTCAACCATTTTGAAAAGAAGGTTGACGATATCCGATCCTCGTTTGTTAAGTCAAATGACACTGCTGGTCCTGCTCACACTGCCCTACCCTATGCTTTGACTTCTTTCTCCCCTCTCTCTCCAGATAAAATCTTGCGACTTGTGACGGCCGGCCGCCCAACAACCTGCCCGCTTGACCCTATCCCCTTCTCTCTTCTCCAGACCATCTCCGGTGACCTTCTCCCTTACCTCACCTCGCTCATCAACTCATCCTTGACCGCTGGCTATGTCCCTTCCGTCTTCAAGAGAGCGAGAGATGCACCCATTCTCAAAAAAACAACACTCGATCCCTCTGATGTCAACAACTACAGACCAGTATCCCTTCTTTCTTTTCTCTCCAAAACTCTTGAGCATGCCGTCTTTAGCCAACTCTCTTGCTATCTCTCTCAGAATGACCTTCTTGATCCAAACCAGTCAGGTTTCAAGACTGGTCATTCAACTGAGACTGCTCTTCTCTGTGTCACGGAGGCTCTCCGCACTGCTAAAGCTAACTCTCTCTCCTCTGCTCTTGTCCTTCTAGACCTGTCTGCTGCCTTTGATACTGTGAACCATCAGATCCTCCTCTCCACCCTCGCCGAGCTGGACATCTCCGGCGCGGCTCACTCTTGGATTGCGTCCTACCTGACCGGTCGCTCCTACCAAGTGGCGTGGTGAGAATCTGTCTCCGCACCACGTGCTCTCACCTCTGGTGTCCCCCAGGGCTCAGTTCTAGGCCCTCTCCTATTCTCGCTATACACCAAGTCACTTGGCTCTGTCATATCCTCACATGGCCTCTCCTATCATTGCTACGCAGACGACACACAACTAATCTTCTCCTTTCCCACTTCTGATAACCAGGTGGCGAATCGCATCTCTGCATGTCTGGCAGACATATCAGTGTGGATGATGGATCACCACCTCAAGCTGAACCTCGGCAAGACGGAGCTGCTCTTCCTCCCGGGGAAGGACTGCCCGCTCCATGATCTCGCCATCACGGTTGACAACTCTGTTGTATCCTCCTCCCAGTGTGCGAAGAGCCTTGGCGTGACCCTGGACAACACCCTGTCGTTCTCCGCTAACATCAAGGCGGTGACCCGATCCTGTAGGTTCATGCTCTACAACATTCGGAGAGTAGGACCCTGCCTTACCCAGGAAGTGGCACAGGTCCTAATCCAGGCACTTGTCATCTCCCGTCTGGATTACTGCAACTCGCTGATGGCTGGGCTCCATGCCTGTGCCATTAAACCCCTACAACTCATCCAGAAGGCCGCAGCCCGTCTGGTGTTCAACCTTCCCAAGTTCTCTCACGTCACCCCGCTCCTCCGCACACTCCACTGGCTTCCAGTTGAAGCTCGCATCTGCTACAAGACCATGGTGCTTGCCTACAGAGCTGTGAGGGGAACGGCACCTCCGTACCTTCAGGGTCTGATCAGTCCCTACACCCAAACGAGGGCATTGCGTTCATCCACCTCTGGCCTGCTGGCCCCCCTACCTCTGCGGAAGCACAGTTCCCGCTCAGCCCAGTCAAAACTGTTCGCTGCTCTGGCACCCCAATGGTGGAACAAGCTCCCTCACGACGCCAGGACAGCGGAGTCACTCACCACCTTCCGGAGACACTTGAAACACAATCTCTTTAAGGAATACCTGTGATAGGATAAAGTAATCCTTCTACCCGCCCAAAAAAAAATTATAAAAAAAATACATATTGCAAAGTGGTAATCCCACTGGCTATAAGGTGAACACACCAATTTGTAAGTCGCTCTGGATAAGAGCGTCTGCTAAATGACGTAAATGTAAATGTAATACTGGCTGGCAACGTTCTTATCCCTTGCTTGCTAGCTAGCCAACTACGGCTAACTTACAGTCACGTCAAACATTGCAGCCAGAATAACAACAGTAGCTGCATTTGCATTTGTATAATCTGTTTTTTTGTGACAATTATATGGACATATTCATAACAATGAGCTAATGAGGCGAGATTTTGCCTGGCATAGAAAATGTGCTCTCTTGTCAGGACCCTGTTGTTCAGAGAGGAGCTAGCCAACAACACACCTAACACAATCACTTCAAACTGAAGCTGGAAAGACTGCAAACTAGCTGCACTTCATTTCGTTTGACCTTTTTTCAATCAACATTTCTTTGTAAAAAGGATTCCAGCTGATTCATGCTTTCAACTTGCTTTCAACTGGCTGAAAAACGTTGACTGTCTGTCTTGTCCTGACTCCCGACACGTTCATTATTATGGGACACCTGGAGATCGAATTTGAATAATGAAACAATTTAGCAAATGTCGGAGAGACAGACAGCAAGGTTTATACAAATCTCTGCTACTGAAAACTAAATGTTAGTCCAAAAGAAATGTGAGATCATTTTTAGATGCTTTTTATAGTGGAGATCAAGTTTATAAATTGCCTGGCCTGGATGAGACAGTGGATTGCAGGTGGTAACTTGTGGAATACACACCGACTGGAATGCAATTTTATCCAATCAGCATTCAAGATTAGATCCACCCGTTGTATAAAGTCTGACAAGTCGGTACACTGATGAAACTACGGCAACAAGTAAATAATCTGCCTCTACCGTCTGTTCTATTGGTGAATGTACAATCACTGGAGAATAAACTGGACGAGCTCCGTTTGAGACTATCCTATCAACAGGACCTGAA